GATAATTACCTAGCTGGGGTCACATGAGTTCATACCTACCAGGGGTCATATAAGCCCAGTATTCATGCCTACCCAGGGCAGGGGGTCAGACTTGATGATCTACTTGGGTCCCTTCCAACCCTACGTCTATGAAACTGAAACTATATATGTTTTGGAAATGGATGCAATTCACACTAGCTTCCACATCTTCTGTTAGTTAGATTTGCTAAGCATGCACGGTGAGGCTTACCTCACAAAGGGCTAAGGAGCAGAACTAAGTTTGTACATACTCATGGGATATTTATGTATAGTTTAATTATTCCTTTACTGCTTTGTTGTGTTAATGAGAGGTATTACATTCATTATTAGTAAGATCTATTATTTTCACTCCACAGATTTAAAAACTCTAGGGGTAATCATGAAATCCTATGGTCTTTCTGTCAGTATGTGTTCAGTAATGCATACTGTGGGGCAGAGCTGTACTGCTACCCAGCATGTCCACAAGTGGTGCAAAGTGGAATGACCTTCAGGGAAGGTTAACAGTGAAATAAGCAGGGATAACTGACAAATAAGCAGTCATGGACCAAGCAGCGGCAGCACCACCAGATTGTGGTGAGGACAGCAGATGGCAATAGTTCCGCCTCCTGAAAAGCCACATATATCTTTGGTGGTCCTGTGACATGGTGCATATAGGTTGCTAGTCCCCAGCTGTGGGTCTACAAGTCCTCAGTGGTGGAGGAAGTAGAAGAGGATGTTAGAATTTTAATGGCTGTGAAGGCAGATGAAGGCTGCAGCAGAAAAAGATTCTCAGTTGTCTTGGTTTCCTTGCCATTGGATCAAGGTCCCATTCTGTCAAAAGCCATGTGGAAAGTGATGTGCAGCAGCTTCTCCATGATAAAAGAAGTCATATACAGTAGGGGTATGCAAAGCGGGCCATATTCAATTCGCATTTGGCCCGAATTGGGGACAGTGATTTGATTAGTTGATTTGGATCACTGTCCCCGATTCGATTCGGCTGAATCTGAATCTGAAGATTTGATGCTAATTCGGAGAATCAGTGATTCGGCCATAAATGCAGCTTTTAAATGTTTTTTCTACATACCTCAAGGTACCAGGCATGGCTTATGAAGGCTGCAATACTAGGGTGGATG